CTCCTCCAGCGGCAGCAGCTTGCCGGCGTAGAGCTGCTTCAGCCCTTCCGAGACGGTGCGGAACAGCTCGGGCTCCTTGCGCCGCCGCGCGTCCCGGCTCACCCAGCTGAACATGGCCGAGCCGTGTCCCGCTGCGGGCGAGGGAAAGCAAGGGGAGTAAAAACCCGGGTTCAGACGCGCGCGGCTCTCCCGAAACACCACCCGGCCGCCAGCGGAACGGCTCCGGCACGGCACGCGGCGCCCCGACGCCTCCCTTATATAGGCCGCGCCGCGCCGCCACGCCCAGCCAGGAGCTGATTGGTGCCCTTTGGCCGGCTCTCCGCCTCCCTCCCTCCCTCCGGTTCATTTGTCTCATCTCGTCCCCGCCCTTTTGCCCTCAGACTCCGCCTTTTCCGGCCAGCAGCAAGCCACGAGCGCAGCACATCCGAAGCAACGTCACGCCCCTGACGCCGGGATTATCGTAGAGATACGAAAATAGTAAAGGTGAACGCGGCCGCCGTAGATCTATGATTGGTAGAAGTGGCTTAGGACCAGGGCAGCAGCTGAGGACTCTTTGGTTGTGAAGAAACGAAAACTCCCATTGCCCCACCGGCAAGGCTAGATGGGGCTTCTGGGCAACGGAGTTCAACAACATCTGGAGGGATACTCGTTCCCCTAGTAGCCTTATCCTCTGATGGAGAGCTGAAGAACCCTTCAGGAGGACTCTTTCACCCCTCGTGGCTGACCGTACTGCTGGGGGGGGCTTCCAGAAGTTGAGCATCTGGAGGATCAGATTTTCCCCACCACTGCATCACGCTGTTGTTGTTGTTGTTGTTGTTGTTGTTATGTGCCGTCAAATCATCTCCACCTTACGGTGACTCTATGAATGAGTGATCTGTCCTTAACAGATCAGCTCTTGCAAATGTCCTGTCCTTAACAGATCAGCTCTTGCAAACTCAAGCCTGTGGCTTGCTTTATTTGGTCTTCCTCTTTTCCTGTTGCCTTCCAACTTCCCCAGCATTATTGGGTCCCCCCCCCATAGAATCCTGCCTTCTCATGAGGTGCCCAAAATAGGACATCTTCAGTTTCAACATTTTTGCCTCCAGAGATAGTTCAGGCTTGGTTTTATCTAGGACTCACTTCTTGATCTTTCTGGCAGTCCAGGGTATCTGTAAAACTCTCCTCCAGCACCAATGTGTAGCCTGTATAATTAAAAATTGTAAACCGTCCGGTGAGTGCTTGTAGCGCTATGGGGCGGTATATAAGTCCAATAAATAAATAAATAAATTTAAAGCAAATTATTTTTCCCTTCAGCTTTCTTTATTGTCCAGTTTTCACGCCCATACATGGTGACTGGAAATACAAGATCTTGATTTTGGTCTTCAGCGACACATCCTTATACTTGATGATTTTCTAGTTCCGTCATATTCTCAAGTGGTTTTCAAAATAATCCAGGTTTCTGTGTTGTTGTTGTTGTTGTTGTTGTTGTTGTTGTTGTTGTTGCTGCTGCTGCTGCTGCTGCTGCTGCTGCTGCTGCTGCTGTTGNGACTTGACTTTAATCCTAAAAGTCCCTATCAGTGTGTCTAATTTTAAGGGATTCTGGTAACTGAGGTCCAGTAGATATGGCCAGCTAATGGCTGAAAACACTGGTATGGACAGTCCCAGAGCCCGTACGGAATATTAAATAAGTGGCATCTTTCAATCTCATGGGTAAGTGATGGTCCTGTTAGCTTACAAGTAGCATCTGGTATTCTTGCCCCAAAATACCCACTGACATATTCCTGAATCCTTCCCGAGTCTCCTGCAAAATACATATTTGGGAAGATTAAGGAAGCAGGAAAAGAGGAAGATCAAACAGAAGATGGATTGACTCCACAGGCTTGAGTTTGCAAGAACTGAGGAGATCTGTTAAGGAGTGGACTTTTGGGAAGCCGTTAACTCATAGGTGGCCATACATCAGAGATGACGTGATGGCACAGAACAACAGTAATAGTCTGACACTCAACACATAAACACTAACCTTGAGGATTGATGAGAATTGTCTCAGTCGCTGTGAGGCTTCATTCATATTCTGTTTATGTGTTGTTGTCTAGTCATGTCCGGCTTATAGTGACCCTAACAGGGTTTCTGAAGGGTGTGATACGGTCAAGGAATTGTTTACTATTGCCACCATCATCCCCAGTTAATTTCAGCTGGCTGATCAGGAATTCAAACTCAGAACTCCTAAGTCCTAGGATGACAGCCTGTCCACTACTCCACGGTAGGTCTGCAGCACTGCCCCCGTCCAAATGGCACTCTTTTGAAACTGTTGACAGACTGCCAGGGCTTGGAAAAATTACTTTTTTCTGACTGTACCTTTCAGAGTTTTCCCCAAACCAGCAAGGCCAGTTAATTCTGGGAGATGTAG